TTGGTGCTTTTAGGATAGTTGCTGCTCCACTAACATGGTAAAACCTGTTGGTGAAGCAATTGGGACTGTGTACTGCATGGTACAACAGTCACAGAAGGTAGAGAAGCAGGAGCAGGAGAAAGCAATAAAGAAAACCTCTTTGGTTGCCAGAATGGAAGAGAGAGATGTTCATGCGCAGGTGGAGAATACCAACAACCACTACTCCTTTGATGTGGAATGGGAGAGGTTCTTGTGGAAAGTGACAGCTCAGATGGGTCTGCCAGGGCAGAGGTACCATTTGCACATTAGAAGCAAATGCCTTCAGCTGGGCTGTTTCCAATGGAAAAAAGGAAGAGATTGAGATAGAGCCTAAAGAGAAAATGAGATAGGGACTGCAGTTCCCCTGCTTTTATAAAACCAGGGGAAGACCACTTAATCTCAGGTGGCTCTCATCTCACCACACCTTCTTTTACACTAGAGCTCAGAAAAAAGTTAAATTTTCCCAGGTTCAGGTCTCTGGAGTACCAGCCAGCTCATGCTCCCTCCTCTATGTGCTCAGAACCTCAGCCTAAGGATCGCATTCATCCCATTCAACACCACCTGGGAAGGCAAGGCACCTCTGGGCTTCCTGACCCACTAAGAGCTAATTCAAACCCCTTCACCGCTTACACATCAATTGCCATTGAACAAGTCTGGGAGAATCTTCTGCAGAGACCATAACGTGATTGTCAGAGTGAGATGCCAGTCCACTCACTACACAGGAGAATCTTATCTCCCTTCCTAAGATAAAAACAAAATGTATGGTCCTTTCCACATGGGAGGACAAAAGTAAATTCCAATCACTACGAAATTATGATAGAAATGGTCTCCTTGTCTCATGCCCATATTAATTTTTTTATTCCTGTTAAGGAACAAGGGAACTTTTGGGTCTTCCCAGCTGTGATAAGTGGGATGTGGGGAATGCATTCTGACACAGATCTCACTCATAATGCTAAAGTCCTGGAAGGAACTACTGCAGTTCTTGCCCGTTAAAGCTTTGTGACAAACAATTCCTGCAAAAATACTATAAATCCAGAGCATTTTCAATTCAATACCTATCATGCACTTTCAAAAGATCAGTCAGTCTGGCAATCCTGAGAGATTTTGGAAAAATCAGATGTAGATGTTTCAGTAGGTTTTTTTTTTCTCATACAGTTTACCAAAGTACTTAGGACAGAGATCATCCCTGACATCAAAAAAAAACCCAGAGAGAAAACAACAACACAAGTCAAAAACTAAACTCTGCACAGGAAGAGTTATATCTCTTCAGTGTTGACTGTAATCCACACTTTTCTTGTACCACTGAGTTTGTACAGTCAGCTGCCCCAAGTACTGGACATCTAGCAGTCCTTGGAGGGACAGGAACATGACAAGACACATTAGAGAAATGATCAAATCCATAAAGGTGGGACTTCCTATATCTGTTTCCTCAAAACTGAGTGAAGCTATAAATAAGGGAACTACCACCCTTTCCTCTCCAGTGGATGAATGCTCACATTTGAAACCCTGCCTGGTCAGGTGTGACAAATGCAGTTTATCATATGGCTCTGAGATGTAACCCATGTCTCTGCAAATTATTGTATCCTGTGGATAGCCCCACAATACACACACAAACACATCAGTTACACCACTACAAAGCAGTATGAAACTTGCTGGTTTCTATTTCTTTAAACCCACACATTAGCTCAGGCTCAACTGCACCTTCTCCATTGCATGACAGGCATAGAAGTAGTTAACATCATGGACCACATCACTTCCATTTGTCCTGCAACCAGCCAGCAAGATAATGCACAGAATAAATAGCAGGCATTAGAGAGAGGAAGTATCTTTAGGTAGAAAGACATGCTATTTAGGCTGAGAGGTGCTTACCATGCAATGTGTATTTGCAGATAATTAGCCAGAAAAGCATATCCAAATAGCATGTAGCTAAATTCCTGTTGAAAGCATTCCAGAGAGCATGAGAAGTCAGCTACAGATCTTTCCTAAGCACAGATTCTCGCATCTGCAGAAAGTGCAGAGAGGCCATGGCCTATTTCTTCTGGCACCTCCACTCTCCAGAAACAATCTGTTCTAGACGCTTCCAGCCAAGCCTGACCATGCCTCCCCCACTTTTAACTCCACACTCCATGTCCCATTTATTATTGTCCATTCCTCCTTTGATCTGGGTTTGCTCTGGTCTTGCGAATGCTTAATGTTTGTCTTATCTAATGTCACTGTGGATACTCATCTTGTTAGCCAAGGGCTACTGTTCACAGACAGTAGTAATGTCTGCAAATGTGTGGAGCATGGTAAAACAAGCAGACTTACGGTAGCTGCAAGCTGCTTATTTGGGAGGAACTTTAGCAAAGGCATGGCACGCGTGGGAAAGCTTCACCCTCTCATTGACTGTGAAAATGCTAACCCAGATTCTCACAGCTTAAATTCTCATGGCTTTGACCTGACCATCTCCTATTAGCAGACTGCAGGCATTCAGAAAAACCTGTGAAATGAGTGGTGCTTAGGTCAAGGGACACCATGGATTATGATTTGGGGATTTGAGGCACTTCAACCTTAGTATGTCAAACCTGCAGCATGCTTTAGACTTTCGATTTCATGATGAGACTTTTCATGTCATAGGTTTTCTATTGCAACCTGCCTTGTGGAAACCACACACCCTAAAGGGAGAAGTTGCTGCAGACACACAGAAAGAGCAGCCTCTTCTCTAGATGAGTAAATAGAGCTGGTTCTCAGCCACACACACATAAAGACTTATTGGGCTAACCCTCCATACACAGACAAACAGCTACAGAAAACCTGACAAATCTTATCAACTTGACACTTTCTCCTACCTTTACCTATTGGTAGGAAGTTCACTCCCTTCTACTCTTTCTCTGTATCCAGATGCAAGGTGAAAATATCCCAAAGACCTACCAATCTGCTCAGTGGAAGCTGAGCTCTCCCCTGACCTCATTGTTCCTTGACATTAGGGGGGTACCATCTCTTGCTTAAATCATCATCTTGTTGACATGTAGCATTGCTCCCAAACGGGAGCATCTATCCACACCTTTATTCACTGGACACATGCTGTTACCTCCTGTCATACCTGGCTTGACAGGTCTAACAACAGGGATGAAACCAATTGTTGGCAGGGTACCAGTGCTTTTCCAGGGCCATGGCCACAGCCTATGTGACCTGTCTGGTTACTTTTCTTTACTCTCCTGGCTGGGCACCAGCACTTCCAGATGGAGAGCTGGGAAGCAGTGCTCCTGTGGGCAAGCTGACGCTGCAGAACACCGCTGCCTTCCTGCAAAGCCTCTGATATTGGCAATTGCCTGTCACAACCTCCCAGGCTAGAGAGCAGTTTGTACAAAACTAGTTTGCTCTCTCTGGACAAAAAAATAACGTGCTGCCAGTTACGGCTCACTTCATACCCAGCCTCTTAGGGGGCTCTACCCCCTCTACGAGGGCTCCACTCCCCATGTGAGTGTCTTTTTGATGTAGGTGTCTTGGCTGCTGGGTCTCAAATAGCAATTCTGTGATTGTGCAGGCAGTTGCTCTCTGGCAGGTGGGCAGTCACTTGTGAAGAGGTCTGCGGCAGAGACACAGCTGAACTCTGGTCCACAGAGTTTGCTTTGAGATGCTGTAATCTAGCATTTTGTGTAGGGCTCCAAATAACTGTGCTGGGGGAACAGAGGAGGGCAAATGGATGGTGCAGCTCAATGGGAATGCCAGCTCCTTTTGCAGGGTAAGCATATAAACTTTCCTTTCCCTGGTTATTGTATTCATGTATATCACCAAGAAGCACATTCTAATCCATAGGTATTAAACCCGGTTAGGCTTATTCTATCCTTGAGGAAAAAAGACCCTATGTTTATTTTCCATTACTGGAAAACTTCCCACGGGATTGTCTTTGTCCACCATATGTGTCATCTTTGCTGCTGTTTTATCCGTAGCTCTGTTTATAAGCAGGTTGCTATAGTCTAAAATTAGACCGGACACATATCAATAACACCAGACATAAGGAATAATCTGAAAAACAGCAAGATCTTTTTTAATCTGTGTAGATTTCAAAGAGCACCAGCTTTGTCTTTCAAAAAAAGGCAATCCAATGTCATCTTCATTAAAGTGGGAAAGGCCTTTGCCAGGTATTTTTTTTGTATCTGCTTATCTCTTGCTGGGCCTCTGCAAAGACACGGTTGATTCATTGCTGTAGCAAACCACCAACTCTATCACAGTATGGATCACATTTTAACACGGATGCTTTCTGACAAACTTCTTCCCCTTTCATCCATATCTCAAGCATTTCCCCACTGAATCTTGCCTGTAGCATCTACAAGACAACTCCACCAGCCAATTCTCTGCAAACGTAAAGGATCTATTTTTAGAAGTCTTGAAGATGACAAGAAATGCTGACCTCAGAAAACTGTGAATAACAAGCTCTTTATTTCTCCTTCCTTGTCTGCTCTCTCTCTGTGGAAGCAAACTACCAGCATCTGGCCAACTTATTCCAGAATCACCACAAGGCCAGAGCTGCATTTTGAGCATCTCTGCTCCTTGATATATTCCTGAAAGTCTCGTCCATGCCAACCCCACAGATCTGATTTGAAACCCCCCATGCTGCCAACCTCAGTGACTTCTCTCCATAGAGCACAGGGAGGGGATGCAGTGACTCATCCAGCCTCATGATCCCCCCTGCCAACCCACTGTTTGTTTGAGTGATTGTATTGTTGAGGTCCTGTTGCCACATTTGTAACTATACATTTTTTTTTTTATGACAACCAGAAGTTCGGTTTTATAAACAGATGTTGTTGTGGGCCTCTCTTACTCAGCTGGATCAGCGTCAGTAGTTTTTCCAGGCTGCGGTCTCTGTACTGCACACTGAGTCAGACGCAGCCCTGTACAGATTTCTTTGAATCGCTGGTTTCCTCCCAGAGACTCTTGACTCCCTGCCAACAAAGCAGGGCGTAGCTCATTAATTTTATTTTTTTTCCTTCTCTTTAAAGGCACACTGATTCATAGTAACTCCTTTAAAACAGAAAAGACACCACCCTCCCACACCACCAGAGGAAACTTAAACCACCACCAGGTCACTCCCCTTCACTCCAGCTCCGCACTCCAGGACATCGGCAGTGCAACCCAGCACTCTCCTTCTTCCACAGGTGCCAGCACCAGCCCCAGCCCACACGGTAAGAGCTGCTCAAAAATCCTCACCAACTTTCCTCTCTCACTGGCTGTTCCCCATTCCCAGCAGCACCAGTCTGCTTTTCTCTTCTGCTCCTTCACTTCTCTTCACCTTGGCACTCGAGCCGGCTATGGGACACACCTTAATTTTCATATTTTCCTTTGAAATCCAGCTGCGTTACGGGGCAAAGGGACACTGCAGGGCTCTCTGGTTGCAACCCCAGGGCACTGGCAGCAGCAGTGTTATTTTCACCTCCCAGGCACATGCAGCCAGGGTGCAGACACAGGGGGCCCAACCTGGGCCAGCCCCGGCTCAGGTGCTGCTGTGTGCTTTTGGAGTAGCGTTGTTTACAAATGTGGGAAAATGCCTGCTTGGAATTAGGGCTGCTGGCTCAGTTTTTCTGGCTTTCACATGTTTCTGCTTGTCTCTCTCTCCTCTATCATTAGTTTGCCAAGCTCTAATTAAAAACAATAGCGATCATTCCAAGTGAAGACTGAGAGGCCCCAAAGGTGCAGACTTTGGGGTACAGTGGAGACAGTCTCTTTTTCTGTGGGAGTCCCGACTCCTGAGGCTGAAGCCAAGCCCCAGTTCTTATGAAAAGCCACGTGATGGGTAGAAATATATGCTGCGCCTTCCTTGGCAGCACAGACCCTGGAGTGGGGAGCACTGCGAGGCGAAGTGAGGGAGCGGGTGGAATTGCTAAGAGCACCATGGGCTGCATGGTAGGGTGGTGTGTCGAGGGGGTAGAGGCACTGATGGGAAGTGTAAGATTGCAGAGACTGGCAATTTTGCCTCTTCACCTGCCTTTTTCCACACAACCACCCCCTCCTTTTTCCCTCCACTCCTTCACCAGTTCTCTCATTTCATGTATCTGCTATGGTTTGCATCCTGCGGTCAAATCTGAACTATTTTTGAGGTCTGAGAAAGAGAGTGCAGCGGAGCCAGTTTGTTGGCACCACACTTCGGTTCCTGTTGCAGGAACCCAGCCCACTCCTGCACAGTTTGAAAGAAACTGAAACAGTATTTAGCCCAATAGGGCCAGGAATGGGTGGGGCTCAGGCTGGAGCTGTGCACAGTTACTACATCAATGACCAAGAAGATGAGTTGACCTAACTTTGTGGCAGAGGGATGGATTTTGTGAATTTCGAAGTCCCCTCTGGCCCTATTGCATGTGGCTCAGTCATGCAGCAGTGCCTCCTGACTGAGAAATAGATCTGTTTGAATGGTGGGAAAGCTGACTGAAGCAGTGTTTCCAGGGCAGTCTGCAACCAGAATGGAGAGAATTTTCAGAAGTTGTCAGTTAATACAATTGACAATTAAATCATTTTTGGAAAAAAAAAATAAAAATGCTGTGGTCATAGAACAACTTTCAGTCAGAAGCTTTGAATTCCTCAAGTCACCTCTGAGAGCAGAGTTGCCCAGGAACTGCCCACTTGACATTTCTGTATAGAGTGGGATTCTTTTCTGAGCAAACACACAAAAGGGAGCTGGACATGAAAAGTGTGAAAACTTGGAGCCCTTAGCTATTGTTCCTGTGATAACAGGGGTTTAATGCCTCCACCCAGTCCACCTGAGATAGTGAGGCCTTAAAGGTAGTTTATTTCTATTTGCTCCCTTGGGGATTAGCATAGGAAAAGGATCAAAACTGAGGTATCTTACTAACACTGCAGTGCCTGGAAGGACACACTGAAATGTAGCTCCTTCATGTGAAGCCCTGCACACCCACCTAAGGAATTCCTCTCAGTAGGCTTCTGTGGAAGTTCCCCCCAGCTATGACTAACCATCCAAACACATGACACAAAGTCTGAGCCATTCATCCCAGCTACCCTTGTGAACAGGGCATCTCCACTGGCCACATGCCATTCCGAGACAGACATCTGAGAGCTACAGAGCAGAGCCACACCCAAGGATACAATAATGGAGGAGCGACTTGGGATCTTGTGGAGAAGCACCAAGTTTTGGAGTGCGTGCCTCAGCTGCAGGGTTGTTAGTGCTTCCCTGGTGCTACCCTGCTGAGGACAGAGATCCCTGGGCTTGGAAAACCAGCCCTTCTGGTCTAGCTGGTGGTCTTTCAATTCTGTAGTGTGGGAGCATGCAGGAATTACTGTTTGGTGGTCTGGGGTGGAGCACAAATTGTATTTTGAAACAGTTCTGGGAGATATGCTGGTAATAGCCAGTGTGGTTTTGGTAAAATACCCACCTCGGGGCCTTGCTTATAATGAAACAAGGGAGATTTGCTGCAAACACTAATCCTTCTCTATATTCATCACCCTCCCAGCCACAAGGCTCACACATTGCACTCAGCCTGTGCCTGCTTGAGTTTCCTCAAAGCAAGCAACAGCAGGAGGGTGGTGGGTTACAGCCTGCTTCCATAGCCCTGCCCACTCCCCTGGGGCTTCACAGGCTCCATCAACCCCAGGCGGCAGCCGTGACGCCCCTTCCATGGCACGTTTCCACTTGCTTACCCCCACCCAGTTCACTGTGGCTGCTGGATAGGTGCTCCCTTCACTACGTGCTACACAGATGGCAAAGGGGGAGGCACCTGATACTGGGCTAGGATTCACCCTCAGATGCTCAAGTGCCCCATAAGACAAAAACTAGCACTATGAGACCCCTTTGATCTCAAGAGGCTTCTGTGCCTGTACCCTTCAGTAAGGAAATGATAGCACTGCCACCCAACGCAACATAAGGTAGGTTGCAGAGCATGGCACTCCACCCTTTTGTAGGAAAACCTACAAAAAAACATAATGAGAAATAACTAAAAGACGAGATTCCTTTACCCTTCCTTCAAGGCAGGGAAAAGTAATAGGCCTGGAGTTAATATTTTACTCCCCTGAAAAGGAGGGCAAAGAAGGAGATTTTTCATCTTCCCGTCTGAAGATGGATGCTTAATAGTTCACGGGTCTTTTCTGCTGAGGCAATACCATGTTCACAGAAAAGGAGGCTCTTCTCCATGGCCCTGCCAGGAGTGATAACTAAATCATAGCCACAAGTGCTGTAACAGTGGCCCTGAACAAATATTTTGAAGCACCATCTCAAATGTGCCTGTATTGATCCTCTGTCAAGGCCGGTCCACACCCAGTCATCCCACAGCATGACAGTGGGTCTAGCAGCAATTCTCCCATATAAACTGCTCAGAGGGAAATCTAGAGTGCCTCTTAAACTGCTTTCTGCCATTACACTGTGGGGAGAGCAGCAAAACAGCACATCTCGGGGCTGCCATCTGGAGTATGATTTCTTCAAACTCTGCTGGGAGAGTTTTGGGAATTACCTCCTTATTTAGCATAGCTGGTCAATGAGCAAAGGAAACTGTAGCCAAATTTGCACCGTCCTTCTCCTGAACTATTTTCAACAGGGCAGAGAGTATATGGGGACTGCTCTTTTAGTAAGACCAAATATAGCCCATGCCTTGTCATGGTAGGGAGGCACAGCTTAGGACAACTGAGCTCCAGAACCCACATTGCCCAAGAGGGTGACCATTTTGCCAGGCTCATAATTAAGATCTATCCCCTTTACCCTGCAAACCAGTCTCTAACACAGGCATGGGGAGACCCCCATGACAAGAGCCCAGGGACAGATCCTGGGCTAGGTCATCCCCAATCATGCAGAGAAGTGCACTGAACTATGGAGTGGCTGACAACAGGTGAACAGTGACTCATGCGGAAGGCTTAGCTCTTGCGATGTCAGGCCACCTGGCAATATGTTTGTGTTAGAGGAAATCCAGGGTGAGGGCCTTTGCTGTCCTTTTGCCCTCACAGGGCAGAGTCTGCTCAAGGAGGGGAATTGTGAAAGCAGATGCCATGACTGGGTCCAATGTCCACATTTTTCTCATTTCAAAAAGACATCTCCCCTTTTTTGGCCCCAGAAGGGCTCTGGGAAGGATAGTGAGAGCCATGGGAGCAAGAGGGGAGAGCTATAAAATGCTCAGAGCTTGGAGCAGGCTTAGTCAAAGGATTGCTGAAGACCAACTCCAAGAACACGGACCACTGCTGAAGGAAAGCTTGGGCAGCTGGGCCAACCTGCCTACTAGCCAGCCTCCAATGGCTGTAACCTGGCCAGCGTGGTGTACCCTAAATAGGGGAGTTCTTGATGTCTTGTGGAAAGCCATTTCCACATATAACATGAACAAGCTTATACCATTCTCCCAACCCATACTGATTGCAGGTGTAAGGAGCCTTCTGAGAGCCAGATGAGGTATTTTACATCACAGCCATAGCAACCACCTTCATCCCACCCTGCACAGAGCACTGACCAGCTCCAAACTGCACAGCATCCTCTTATGTCTGCTTTATACACATGCTTCCCCCATCCATTGTTTGTGCACTGTGGTTGAAAGAGGGAACTACCACACAATTTTGCATTTTAATCCTGCACAGTCTTTTCCAAGCTGGCTTGCAGGAATAAAGGCATCCTGGAAGCAGACTGACCCAAAAGCTCAGACTCTTTAGATGCCTGAGTTACATTGATCTCAGTGTCTCATAGGCTGTACCGGCATGTTCAGAGGTTTTGCAGCTTTGAGAGAGAGACTCTATCTGGAGGAGAGACTCTATCTGGTAAGGAATGGCTTCTTTTTCAGAGTTAACCCTCTCTTGGAAAGAAAAGGGAAGATCTAGACAAAACTGTATATGTAAATCACAGGATTGCAGTTTTAATCCAAAACTGCAGCCAAAACACAGCTAATGTGGGCTTCACGGACCTTCCACCTCTATGTAAGGGCTGTTGCAAGGAGGAAGTCCCACCAGAAATGATCTGTGTACTTTTGCTCACACCACGCTGTCACTTGAACTTTTCTTTCAAACCTGTCAGTTGGTTTCTCCCATGTGGGCTCTGTCAGCGTCAAAGTCGCACAGATAGACAGGTGCACCCCTAAAGAAGCCATTCACAACCACACACATAGGCACACACACACAGAGTTCACAGGGAGCCCACGGATGCACACTCCCATTCATAGAGAGAGCCACGCAGAGCTGCAGATGCACTCCCCTACACACACAACACATCAAC